CAGCAACTATTAGGTAGAAGTCAGGGTCTTAAGATTCCCATCACCCGCATCCACGTTTTCCCCCATCTGCCAACTGGAGTCTAATGCTCTCCACCATTATGCCACTCAGCCTCCACAGAGCTGCTAAAAATCACTCTATTTATAAAAGCCCGAGGTCTAACCATAATGAAAAATCAAAGCTAAACATTAAAGACACATGAATTCCAGATATATGTAAATAGACCAATCTTCAGTACTGAATGAATTATTCTGTCACGATCAAAGACTAACTCTAAGTCTGAAAGTAATAAAATCAATCATTTAAAAAAAGTTATTTACATCCTTTCCTAATTTATATAAATGTTACCTGGAACACATGTTGAATAACTGTAGTAATTTGTATCTCCATCTGTAGGTTTCGTTGTAAGGTCTTTATCTTGTCTGAATTTTCCATACTGTCCAAATCATCTTTTTGTTTGTTCTTTTCAGTCCGTATTTCTAAAAGCTTACTTTCTGAAGCTTGTTTTAATTCTATTCGGTTAAACATAAAACAATATACTATAGATGAAAATGCTTACAAACAAGAATCTTAAAAAATTATGAAGCAGAATAATTCCTGGTTATTTCAGTCAAGAGAAAATTTTAATGAGGAACATTTTTGGTTGCAGCTCTTTCTTTACTGATCTGAAAATTACTTCCCTGGTGCAAAGTCCCAATATTTTAATTTTATACTTAACAATGAAAATGTTCAAAGTTTGTATGTATGACAATGATGGCTGTCTACAAATGTTTGAAGTGACATCATGTCAAAGAGGATTTACTCTGGGATACCAAAATAGGCAGGAGATATATGTAAGGAAATAGTTTTCCTCCCTTATTTAAAAAAATGACATAGTAACAAGATAATTTTTCAATGAAAAGTAAGATTCCCTTTTCCAGGGATAAACATCATCAACCATTTTTTGTAGTTCCCAAAATGTTCTAAGAAATAAACTATTTGAAAACATAAATGGATATGTTTCAGGAGTTTGGTTCCTTGACACTCATGTACCAAAAGAAGGTTGGAATGCAATGGAAAAAAGTTAGACATCCAAAGGGTAATTAGAACAGATGACCAAGGGTACTTCTCACCCTAACATTACTTATAACCAGGAAAATCTGTATACTTAAAAATAATAAACCATGCCTATACTTTTAAATAAAAAATGCAGTTTACAACATGGAATAAAGCAATGCCAATTTTATTAAGAAATAAACATTGAAGATTATCTCTTGATGATAAAATAAAAAAATTTAACTTTTCCTACATATACTTTTGCTTCCAAATATTCTACAATGTGTATTACTTTTGAAATGAAACATTTCAATAATTTCAATGCAAAAAGCCATCTCATGTTCATTAGCTTAAAAAGCTGTAGAACTATATGTATCGACTGATCATTTAAAAATTGTGTATATGTAAATATGCCTAACTGTGTTCACAAAGGAAAGAGGCATAGCTTTCACATTATACTTTTCTGTATCATTTGATTTTCGCCCACTGAGAATGTATTAATTTTGTGATTTGTTCTAAAACAGCAAAAATATATCAAGCAAAATGCATTGTATATATTACTTTTTGAATTGCCATGTCCAAAATTTTAAGAAAATTTGAAAATTAAGAAATTTCTCAGTGAGAGATCTGGCCTTATCAATCTACATAGTAAATGAAAATGTATTCTACAAAACAAAAAACGCAAAAGCTGTTCTACATACCAAATCTTTTCTTTCGAACATCAAGCAGTTTTTTCTCCAAATCCCAAGATTCCTGTTATTAGAAATAAAAAGATTAAGGCACATTACCTAAGAACAAGACTGTAATACGTAAATCACTTTTTTTTTAAAGATTTTATTGGGAAATTGAGGAAGGGGAACAGTGTTGGGGAATTGGGGAAGGGGAACAGCCAAGTTGTTGTCCTTAATCTTAGTTGTGGAGGGCACAGCTAACTCAGCTCCAAGTCCAGTCACCATCTGGCCGCCCGTCGGCAGCTCAGGACAGCTCAGCTCAAGGTGCCATGTTCAATTTTAGTTGTGGGTGGATGTAGTCCATCATCCCATGTGGGAGTCGAAACAGCATGCTTGTTGTTAGGAGCATGTGCTCTCACCAGCTGAGCCATCCTGCCACCTGTTGGCAGCTCAGTGGCAGCTCAGCTTGGGCGCAGCTCACTGGCCCNACACACACACACACACACACACACACACACACACACACACACATACATACACTGGAGAGAAAGAATCCCTTTCAACATTGCTTTTGGAAATTTAAAACTATGATGCAATATGCCCTTATAGATTAAATTCCCACACTGTTTAGGCTCCCCCTTTTTTAACAGAAAATTTAAAAAATACATAAAAGTAGAGAGTAGTATAATAAACCCTGATAAACACATTAGACAACTTCAACAGTAATACAGTCAATCTTATTTCATCACCCTTTCCCCCATAAGGGGAAAAATTGGTAAAGTGGACAGCACTAAAAAGAAAACGAACAAACAAAAAAACCACGAAAACCTTTTTACTCATCGAAAAATAACACATCCAAATTAAAAAAAATAAAAATAATTAAAAAAACACACAACTAGGTAAACAAATTTTTCAATAGGCCAAAGGTTAATAGCCATACTAGGTAAGCACAGAAACACGGGCAACATATTCTTCACAGATAATGAAATGAAAATGGCTCTTAAGCCTATGAAAAGATGGTCAGCCTCACTTATAATAAGAGAAATGAGAGTTCAAACTACATAAAGATAATATTTTTCATCAATTAGATTTCATTAAAAATATACAAGTTGGATAACATAAGTCTGTTGGGAAGGCTGTGGGAAAGCAGGTGGTCATTTGTTGCTATAGTATATTTGTTGCAACAATAGTATAGTATATTTGTTGCAAAATAGTATAACCTCTACGAGGGGAAAAGAAGCCTAGAACTCACAGTTCATTCAACCTTCTCTTACCAGCACTTTCAATTTCCTTGCTGGAGGCTTATTTTCACTTTACTTATAAATCTCAAACCCTGAATTAATCCAATCACCCATCTTCTTCCCGTTTCATGCAACCAAATGATTTCCTAAATGATAAACTATCACCTTTCTGCTCTTATATTAGCCCAAACATATCAAATATATACTGCTTGGCATTCAGCAGGCATTTAATTAATACCTGTAACATACTCTTCTAAAATTGCTTCTAAATACCCTATGGTCCAGCCAGATTTCTCTACTCATTGTTGACACCATGCTTTGTTAATTCCCATCAGTGTGTGCCAGTGTCTGTTGAAAAATTACTCTTTCCTCAAGGTATGATCAACAGCCAAATTCTGAGCTCTTCGGAGGCACCATGTCTGTCTTGCTGGCACTGTAGTCCCAGCACTGAGCATAGGCCTGGAACAGAGGTACTCAATAAATTCTGCTAATTTAATATGTATGTAATATTATGTAATGTGTAATTACATAATATTAGCACATACTGCTTTGTATTATGAATATCTGAGTACAAGTCTTTGCAGCTGTTAAGAGACAGACCATTCCTTATTGTATAACTCACAGTATCTTTTTTGTTTTGCATGTATCAGTCTGTAGTTAGTTCTTTATTATTGCTGTGTACTATTCCACTTTAACAAATCTACCAGTTTGTTTATCCTGCTATGGATTCAACAATCCAATACCTGGATTGTTTCTGGTTTTGGGATTATTATGGATAAAGTGGCTATGGACATTTTTATGCCATCTTTTTATAGGTATATGTACTCATTTCTCTTCAGTATAAACTTATGAGTAGAATTGCTGGGTCAAAGGGCAGGTATGTTTAACTATTAGAAACTGACAAAACAGTTTTTCCAAAGTGGCTGTACCATTTTATACTTCTACCAGCAATATATGAGGGTTTCAGGCACTTCACATTTTTATCATCACTTGGTATTGTCAGTCTTTTTAATTTNTAAACAAGTAAAAATAATTTTAATATAGCTTATTTAACCCAATAGATTCAAAATAGTATCATTTCCCCATGCAATCAATTTAAATTAGTAATAAAATATTTCACAATCTTTTCTTCTGTACTTTACATTTATAGCCCTTCTCAGTGACGACTAACCACAGTGCAAATGTTTGTCAAACGGAGCTAGTAGCTACCATATCGGACAGAACAGTTTTAGAATGATAGAATTTATTTTAAAAAGGAGTAAAAAAGAAACAAGATCAATATCAAATAAAATCAACTGTATGTCGATGTTAGCATACATATAAAGAGTTTGAGCAGAGTCTGAAAATTGCCTAAATTTAAATCGACATACAGGTGAAGTGACTCAGACATCTATGAGGTCTCTTGTTTTTTTTCCCCACAATTATTGATTCAACCAAATGTACTATTTGGTTTTATTCTTTAAGCCTATTTCATACAGAAGGAAAGATTCACCAAAACCTATCTTTGGTGAATAGCTGGTTATTACTTTAGGAAGGCTAAACCCATTATATTACTACTCGTTTGGTCCCAGAGACTTCTGGATTAATAATTCTAAAAAATAAATTTATTTTTCTATGTTTAGAATTGAAAATTGTCCCTCATGTCTTTTTAAGCTGATTTCCCTTCTGCCTCTCATTCCCATAATCCAGTGCTTCTCAAAGTATAGGTCTCAGATCACCTGCTTAACAAGTATTTGATCGGCTAATTTAATCTTCAAGTTGTTGATGGTAGCAATTTCTATGACTCTTTCAGCCCACAGGGATTTCCCAATTATCTGATCAATAGAATTTAATTGTCTGGCATTGTTATTTATTTTACCACTATTTTCTCAATCCCCAAGTAGTTCCTGAGGGCCAGGGCAAGACTGTTTTTCCTTCTTACATGGTATAGTACAGCTTTATGCTGCCACTCCCATTCACTAAGTAAATAATTTTTTGTGAAGTTTATTTTCTTTTCCTTAGAGTACTGTTCATCATCAAATTCACAAAACCTTATTTAAAAATGAAAATACTTACGTGCATCAACCATTGATTTATATTCCAAGAGTTGTTGTTTGGTTTGTGCTCTCAGCCTGAAAGCAGATAAAGAGAAGAAAAAGTCATGTATTTATTGAGGTTCTATTCATTACTATATGATAAAGAAACTCATCTTTTTTGGAAGCTAATGCAACAAAATGAGTATAAAGAAACAGCATTAAAGTCCTCCAGTTTGGCTTCATTTTCTTTAAAATGGGCATATTAAAGAATTTTAAGGCCTCACTCAGAGTAAGACAACACAATGGAATACAGTGGGAAAATGGCACCTGTGAGGAAGTTAAAATTTTGATTTTTAAATTTATTCGTAATGGGCCACACTGCAGTGGGGCTTAATAACTGCTACACAAAGAACTAAATCAAAATGGGGAAAACTACAAACACTGTAATGAGTTACAGCCAGATTGTAACCTTCTCAGAAGATCTAGAAAAATAAAGATACTAATCCTTGGATAGATAAGTGATTCATAGTTTCTTAGTTGTCCTCTGATTCTACTTAATTCAAAATCATACATAAAATAAATGGAAAACTATGGATAAAATGATTAGTCATAAGTTGTACTTACAATATGTTTTACATTTACATGTTAGTTTCGTAATTCTGAAACTGTTTACTTTGTGCCTTTGAGACCTATTTAAGAAGCTAAGAAACATTAGACAAATTTCTAAAGCTCCATAAGCTCATTATGTTTCAAAATTCCAAATGAAAAGAGCAATTGCTTAGATGTTAAGTAGGCTAGCATTTTATGACACATTTACCATTCCAAAGTGATGGTAAAGGTAAAATAGTCACAATGTTTTTTTAAAATCTCCTTATTATGATTTAGAACAGAATCTGCAACTTTTTCTGTAAAGGACCTAGTAGCAAATATTTTAGGCTTTGGGGGTCATACGGTCTCAGTCGCAGCTACTCAACCCAGCCCTTGTAGGAGGAAAGTTGTATTTCAATAAACCTTAAGGACACTGAAATTTGAATTTCATATAACTTTGTGTTATTAAATATTCTACTTGTGATTTCCCCCCCTAAAACCTTAAGATATAAAACTATCCTTAGCTTGAGGGTCCACATAGAAACAAGCAGTAAGGTAGATTGGCCTAGGGCTGTGGTTTGCCCACTGGTTTAGATTGATGGCTCTTCTCCTCAAATCTTACCCTAGCAACCTTAGTGGAAAAGTATAAACATCACCCTGCTGGTAGAAAAAACAGCAAATAAAACTTCTGGATTGAACAGGGTCACAGCTATAAAAGAAAGGGGAGGGGCAATCTCCGTCCAGTAGCTCAGGGCTTGGATGCACCCCACAACCCGCTACAAAATCGGGGCCCCAGGCACTGTGCTAAACGCTTGCTCCAGAGAATCTCATTTAACCTAGAGCAACTCTGCTAGGAGGGTGTCATTTTTTTTCTCTCCTTTTCGAAGATGAAGAAAGGGGTTTAAGGCGTTTAACTGAATGACGTCATTCAGTGGCTGGGTCTAAATTCGAGGCATTCTGGCCATACATAGCGAAGGGCGGAGCTCTTGGCCACAACGCGCACTTGGTTCCGGCCGAGCGGGCCAGAGGGAACAACCTGAGCAACAGAGTCACATGGTCCTCCAGACGCGCTGCCTGGGCGTCAGCGACCGACGACGGCCCGCCTTCCCCTACGGAGTCCGCGAGCTCGGCGGCCGCTTGCTCCTCGGATGGCTTCTCCATCTGGCTGGCTCTAAGAAATACCGCGTAGGACCTGCAGACGCCGTCTCAAAAAGAAGCCGCTTTTCCCGCCACTAAATTGATGCCCGGAAGGCATCGGAGAGCCGCCTTGTCCCGTCCCCGCCCCTTCCGCTCTGCAAGCCCCGCCCCTCCGGTCTCGTGTTTTTTCCGAGTCCCGGATGTATTGCTGTCCTTTTTATCCCGGCTCTACCGGTTGAAATTGTTACGAGCCACCAGTAAAAAAGTTCGAAGTTCTTTAAGCGTCGGCTCTGTCGAGTGCTGGGCTAGAGACTGGGCTATAGCTGTTTGGGGCACTCCCCTGTTTCTGGGAACGTCAACCTCGAAGCCTTAGCGCTGGGACTGCGGAATCTCCGGGGCAGCCATTTTTTTACCCTTCCTGGCACTCCCTTTCCATCGGCGGTCTTGGAAAATGCCCGGTACGATGGGAAAGAGAAAGATATTAGAGGACTGTTTAAATAAACTCGATCGGAGTTCATAAGGTCTGGACCCCTCGTTTGACAGAGAAACGAGTGGCCCAAGTTCAGAGATACCCACGGCCCCTTACGAGGCAGTGCAGATACTTGAACCCCAGATTTCCAGCGTGAAATCCCGCTATCAGCAGAATTCGCACGCCTAACGGAGTTTGATGCTCCCAAGAATCAGCTTGTTGATTCGGCAGGTTACAATTGAGCTTTCTCACCTGGGCAGTGAACTGGTAATGGAGAAAATGCAATACATATAAATGCCTGAAGAGGTAGTGTTTCATTATGGATGGTGGTGTAAGGTCACTCTGCCCTTGTGGCACGAGCACAGCAGCTCGGACCTCTGAACGAGACGAACGTTCCCTTCAATAGTTTCTTTCCCCTGAGTTATACTTGATCACACAGTGCTCCCCTTTCTTCCTATCCATTATGAAAGTAATACAGCTCCTGGTAAAAGTTAGACTCAAAAGACACAGTGGGATGTAAAATATGTTAGGTTTGCCACTCCTACCCCCAAACTCCTGGAAGAACATTTTGTTGCCTTTTATTTTTTGATTCACACCAAAGTGACCCTATTCTTTTCCCACTTTACCACTTTATCTGGGATGTCTTCCAGTATCTCTCATCAATCTCATCCTTTTCAGTAGTTGCCTATCAGGTGTCCACTGAGCAAATTTGGGACAAAGACAAAGCAGTTCTCCAATATGAGCAAGCATCAGAATCATGGGAAGGGCTAAACAGATTACTAGATGCCTAGGTTACTGAGTTGCATTTCTAACAAGTTCTAGGTGATGTTGATATTCCTGGTCTAGGGGGACACTTTGAGAACCACTGCAGTAATGGATACTAACAATAATTTTTAAAAACCCCAAGTAAACAAAAGTACAGGTGTGGGTACTCTAAAAGTTGTGTGTGGGGAGCTCCTATATTGGAGAATTGCCAATATAGAAGGGATAATATTACATTACTACCATCATGCCACTCCCAGTGAGATAAATGATTCAAACCAAGTGTCATTAATGGATACTAAAACTAAAATGAGAACAGCATCTTTACAGCAAAGCTGTACCTGGTATTTACCTTAACCAGATGACCAGACTTGGTATTACTAGTTTAACAATCTGATATGTGACTCCAATATGATGCATGAGTTGTGCAAATCACCTGTATTTTTGTCAAAATGCATAAACTGAATTTATGAAGAAACAATCAGATAACACATCTAGAATTGAGGGGCAGCCTATAAGATGTGTCTAAGTCAGTGCATGTCCATGCTTTGAAAACAATTGAAAAACAAAAAGCAGGGCAATTGTTCTATTTGGAAAAACAAATGAATCTTGATTGGATCCTGGACTGAGAAAAAGTTCATAATTTTTAGAACAATTGAGGAAATTTGAATATGTACTGCATATTACATATGAAGTTGTTAATTTGCTTAATGTGACAAAGATTATGGTTATGTAGGAAAATGACCTTAATTTTTAGGAGATGCATGATGAAGTATTTTTAAGGTGACATCTTGACACCAGCAATTTACTTTTAAATGGCTCTGAAAAAGAAAAGGAATATATGCACATGTACACACACGTATATAGCCCACTGCACACACACACACACTTTTCTCTCTCTACAGCTATAGTTCAATCTTTTCCTACATAAATCACTAGAACTATGTCACTTATAAGGAAACAAATCTCTTCGTATGTCAGTGGAATATTTACAGAAGTCAATCAAGTACTTATTCAGAGAAAACATTAACTTTTCAAAAAGGCTTACAGACCACATCTCCAATGAAATTTTTAAAAATCGCCAACATAAATGTCTGACAAATTTTAAAAGATACTTAGAAAATAAGCAGTTAAATTATCTCCAGATCAAAAAGGACCACAAGAAAAATTATGACTTAACCAGAAGCTGATGAAAAGGACTTCAGAAACAAATCTCAGAGATGTATAATGGCTTTTATTACTAAAATACAGTAAGTATTTAACTTAAATTAGAAAATAACCAAAAGAAAAACTGATGGTGAGAATTACATAAAAGCTAAAACTACAAAATAAAGGTGGTAGAAATGATAACACCAAAACTTGGTTCTTTCAAAACAAAATCCTCGTGGGCAAGTCTGATTACAAAACAAAAGTAATATCAGGAAGGAGAAAGAAAATAGAACTATAATATCAGATCACACACCTCTACAGCTATACTTTAAAAAATCTAAAATGGATGATTTTCTATTAGAGGGGGGAAAAAAATCCCTAAAAGACCAAAAGACCATTGAAAACTACCATTTTAAGCAGCTCCAAGCCAAATGACTTTACAGTTTAATTTAGCTATTTTCAATAAATGAATAAGGATATGAAATTATAAAGACTTGAGGACAAAAATTTCTTTAATACACCTTAAAACTGGTAGAAGCAGACAAAAAAACCAGAAACAGTAGCAAAAAAACCCCCCCAGTTTTCCAAATGAGATTCAAAATGTTTAAATCAAACATTAGCAGATTAAATCTATATACCATGAGCCAGAATTCATTCCACTTTAGGAAACCTCTAATGTGGAATATTATATCAAATTAAAAAAACAAACCTTAATGATATCATAAACTGAAAAAGTAAATAAGAATTTTGCAGGCTTTCCTGGAACAACAGGAATAAAAAAATACCTAAATTATAAAGACCACTTAAAGACTAACAGCAAAAATAATGGTAAAAATATGTAAGAGATATCCAATCCAGGAACAAGACAGGGATCTACCTATTATCAATTCTAATACAATAAATTAAATACCATAAACCTTGAGAAAATAAAAGTTTTAGATTTAAGGCTTGGAAAAAACACTAAAAACAAGAAAATTGATGTCAGCTAGAAAATACAACTATCAATAAAACTAGAAGTGGAAATTATATCCTATTCACAATAGTGACAAAAAAGCATAAACCCAGTAATAAACTTGACAAGTGCAGCAATTATATAATTAAATTCTATCATTATATTTAAGGGCATGCAACAAAGCTTGATGGAGAAAAATGCTCCTGGATGGGAGGGCAGTGTATCAATCCATCCCAAACTAGTAATGTAGTCAGAATCTCAAGCTTTTTGTTAACTGGACATAATTTTAAAGTTCTTGTGTGTTTGAAATTGCCCCCATATTTGAAAAATAGTGGTAGCTCCTTACCAGATAATATAATTTTACATTGTTTATCACAGGAGAAAACAAATAGATCATGGAATAATAGATGGGTCTAGTTTTGATTCATTTGGACAAGGATGATTTTAATCATGATATTGGTGGTGGCATGAATAGGCACCCATCTGGAAATAAGAATCCTACCTTATACTATAGGGATTATCGATCTAAATGGGAAAAATTTTTAATTTTAGAAGTTAGTTATGGTTTGAGGATAGAGTTGACCTTACCACTGAAAATCCAAAAGCAACTACAGAAAAAGACAGATTTGATAATATAAAAACGTAGTGTCTGCATGGTAAAAGATAGCATAAACAGGGCGAATGACAAACTGGAAAAGCCTTACATGTTGATGTTAGTAGACGACAAAAATTAGTTGCCATTAGAGTAGAAATTAAAACAGCAAACAAGGTAGGATATTTTTTGCCAAATTCACAGAAATTGAAGAAAATTAGTTTTGGCAAGATTGCAGAGAAAACTAGTTCTGTACACTGCTGATGACCTTGAGTCTTCTGGCAGCACCTGCTGGAAGTGAGAACACACATCTCTTTGGAAAACTCAGTGTACAAAAAAAAAATAAAGCATGGTATTTAATATTTAAATAGAATTGTCTGTAGGGGCAAAAAAGCACCCTGAATGTCAACAGAAATTATACTACAGAATGTAATACGTACCCAAGCACAGGTAAAGCCTATATACATGTTGAAAGGAATTGCTAAGTATATAGAATGATCCCAATTTTTGAAACACAGTTTATGTGCAAATCTATGTTTATAGAAGTCACGGAAGGATATATTCCAAACTGTTGCTATCATTCAAGTGGATGGGATTGAGATGTAGGAGTTGGGGGAGGGGTAAAATAAACTTAAGATACTTTGGTATGTTTTGAGGAGCCTGTTTTATTAACCAATAAACAAAAAGTAAAGTAAGTTTTAGAATATCAAGTCTTTATTTTCCCAAGTGAAAAAATTGATGCTAATTAAAATGGATAATTTAAGAAATAGTGATAAAAGTAGATTACTTAGAATTATGACAGCAACCATCAGAAGAAACAGAAAATGGGAACTAGGGATGAAGTGGCAGACATAAATAAAGGAAGGCAGCAGATACCATGACTGGGCTTACATGCAGTATGCCCTGTGCAAGGAAGGGTTTTGAGTGCTTCCACCTCAGTAATTCACATTAATATAGTAAAGCCACGTAGATAAAACAAGAACCATATAAGCAACGATTATACACACTAGTTGGGTCACCAGGCTAAGTGAAATCACTTTTTAAAATATTCAATATTCCCCACAATATCTTTAAGACAACTTTTAGAGTACCCTAGAGTAGGAAGTAGCCACATTCAAATGAGTTAGTAAGGTATAAGAAATAAAAAGGACTGCAACTTTATTAAAAATAAGTAAAT